ACAGTCCTATGCAAAAGTTTGGGCACCCCTGGCTCAAGCCTGACTCAGACTTGATCTGTCCTGGTCCCGATCTTGGCTCCTACTTGGCTCTAGTGGCCTAGACTACAACACTGCATTTAAGAGCACAGTAATTGCTTATGTGCTAAATTGAACATATTTGGAAACTATAAAACATAATATGTGTCTTTAAAAAATTATGGACTATTTTAAATGTTTTGTTTTCCTTTTTCCCAATATGTTAAACTTAGCAAATAATTAGAAATTGTGCACTAAAATGAGCAGATTTTCACTTTCTTTATATATATATATATAGACAGAGTATGCATCTTTGCATCAACATGAGTAGTGAATATCTTTATTTGTGTAGTTTTGCTGAGTGTGGAAACACAGGATGAGAAGTTTTAGTGCCTGAATGGACTCTCCTTGATCCATCTTTACAAACTGACAGCAGCATCAGTGATATCACTCACAGACTGTTCATTACACGAGTAAAAAGGCAGGTCAGAAAAGTGCGGCCTGATGTTTCCCATACTATGGACAGAGTTTTGGCTTTGTATCACATAAACTGTGTGCATTACGTTCTCATTTAAAACACCATAAAACCCAGCTGGACATAAACAGGACACGAACCCAGAGGAGCCGACAGTGCTGACTCAATTGTTTTAATTCTTCTCAATTCATGAGTGTATTTTAATTACCACATAGCGCTTTACTATTTAATACCATAAAGAGAGATTTGCTTGACTCTGAAGATCACTTTCTGTTAAATGTCTCCTAATTTCATCAGCTCGTTCTGGGCTGTTGAATTGAGTTAAAGTGAACACAGAAGTTCCTTTGACGAGTCCGTGAAAGTCCACGTGCATCATTGTGCATCGTCTGTTTCAGAAAGCCCAAAATAACTCAACCGTATTAAATAATTCACTGTATCAGACAGCCTTATCTGGCAGATTGACTCTATGAGAGGCGAAGGGTTACAGGCCTTGACTGAAATTGGATTAGAACCAATTACATGCTCTGTGAATTGAGATGCCATTGATGTCTGAATGGGGACTGATTTAATTTGACGTTATTCAATGTGTTTGAATTTAGCTTATCTGGACTTGTGAGTTGACGTCACATCAAAAATGTCATGGTTTATAATTTATTTGACCTGTTTGAGCGCACAGTGTCTTTGAAATCTGAGCCTGACTGCTGTCACTGAGAGCAGAGGTTGACAAATGACAGTTATAATAACTTGGAAGAAGCTGAAAAGGTCCTAAAGCGAACATTAAGCAACATAACAGTGCATTAAAGTCCAACACCCCAGTGTTTAAAGGGCCCATATCATGGAAAACCTCATCTCCATTGATTTCTGCTTCAAATAAAGGAGTTTTCAAGCAAGTCAACAAGTTCCAAAATGTACTGTTCACTCTCCAGTCCATACAGTCCATATATGGAAACTGTGCTGCCCATTTTGAATTCATTATTTCTGTGATGTCACAAAAAACAACTCATTTACATAAATCCACCTATTCAGCCTACAGCAGTTTAGCCCCACCCATTCACACTGAAGTTATAAGGAGTGTTTCAGCTTACTGAGTGCTTTTTGATTGAGGCTCAATACAAGGCAGCCAATCAGAACAGAGCTCATTTACATCTGTCAGTTTTAAAGGTGCAAGCTGTAAGATTTTTAGTTTAAAATATTCCAAAATAAACTAAAATTATCAACAGAAAGTGAAGAAATAACAGTTTTGACGTCATGTCAAAGACGTCTATGTACCGTGTTGCAGAGATATCCACAGAAGTTAGCGTGCTAACCAGCTAGCCTCAGCCTGTCCTGTCTCGTAATACCACTTTGTACCTCAAGGGGCGATAATGAGTCACTGTAGTGTTGAGCTTGGCATCAGTCCAACATGCGAGAATGAAGAAGTTGCCCGGCCTGAGGGTGCATTCTAACCTCTTGTCAATCATGTTGAAGGTCCCGCCCCCGGTTAGAGCGTTTAAGAACAGGTAGCCAAAGAAAGGAACACTAAGCCCAACAATGGCTGAAGCTCTTGGCAATTGACCATTATCACCACCGCCGCTCACCCCCAGCAAGAAATGACATAAACAGAAGGACAACAGGAGTTAACATCGGTGCTGCTTTTCACTGCTGGACACTGGAGCTCAGGGCGAGTAAAGAGATGAAACTTGATGTTCCTTCTAGACTGGTAGGGACGGGAGGAGTGAAGAGGGAGGAGGAGGGACTGTGCATTTCCTTGTTTCTCATAATAGAGATGGACGCCACAAGTTTCTGGTGATATTTTGCCCCTGTTTGTTTCAAGTGTGGAGTATGAATTCGACAGCGGGTCATGTGAAATGATTTATGAGCATAATTCATACATACATACCTGGTTCATAAAACGACACAGGTGGTCTAAGTCAGGGGTGTCAAACTCAACCACTAACAGGGCCATATTAAAAAGTTTTTATTTCATTTTTACTTAACATTTTTCCATGACCCGAACTGGCCATTGTTTGTTCAAAATATGCCAAAATACAATGGCAAAAAATAGGCATGAATACTTGAACCATTTAAAAATAATTTTAAATAAAAACAAAGTGTTTTATATAAAACAACAGGCTACATTAGCTACAGATAACTGTTACACCTCTTCAAGTGTCCCCAGTGTACAGTAACCTACTCGCTTGAACTAGGCATTTCTTTAATGCTTTTTGTTTGTTTGTTTGTTTGTTTTTCATTGTTGGGGAAGGGGTGGGAGCAAACCAGTGCATGCTGGGAACTGTAGTGCAGCTGATGGTAAAATGGGCCAAATAGGACAACTCATTTACATAAATCCATCTATTCAGCCTACAGCAGTTTCGCCCCACCTATTCACACTGAAGTCGTAAGGAATGTTTCAGCTTACTGAATGCTTGAATGTGGATCAGTACAAGGCAGCCAATCAGAACAGAGCTCATTTACATATATCAGTTTTAAAGGTACAATTTGTAAGATTTTTAGTTTATAATTTTCCAAAATTAACTGAAATTATCAACAGAATGTGAAGAATCAACAGTTTTGACATGTGTATAGTAGGATTAGGAATAGGATTGTGCCACGGGCCTGACTTGGCCTGTGGTACAATTGTCTACAGAAATACAGTTTTCTGACAAGCTTTTCATGTCAAAAGCATGAAAAGACTGAAATACGTGTTCAAGCAAAGTTCAAGGTGAGCTGGAATCTTTTCCACATGGAGCAATTGTGTTTAAAAGCTTTCTTGTGTTACAGCGCCATCTGCTGTTTGCAGGTGATACAGCTGTAGTTCTTATTAGTGACCAATTCCTAAGATGGTTGTATTCAGAAGTTTGGATGCTCCTGGTAAAATTACACGGTTTATTGGTTTTCTATGTGAAAATAAGTTAACACATCCTCTACAGATCCTACAGACTCTAAAACATCCTCTTTTATATATATACATTTGAAAATGCCTGTTACCCTTTACATTGTGTGTACATTTCATGATGAACGGACCAAAAGAAATGGTCCAAAATTACTTTGTTACATTAAAACTTACATTCAAAGTAAAGTAGGTTTTTTCCTTCTCTTGTAAAGTTGCCATTTTGAAGATGCAAGGTTTTGTTCCGACAACAGTGACATATACATATATAAAATTTACACACACATAACATTTACAAATAACATTTATATATAACGTATACCAAAAAAGGCGTTATTTTTTGCACAGACAACATTTAGTGTCTCATTTAGTAACATATTTATATGTTAAATAACTTGATGAATTGATGCTGAGTGGGGAGATGCAAAGTGGTGCAAAAGCAAATGCACTAAGCGTTACACTATTGTGCTACTCAAAATACTTTCCTAAGGTTGGCAGGTCTGCTATTGCCCTTTTATTTATGCATTGTAACCAGAGATACTGATTGTACCCCAGTTCATTGTAGATTTGCAGTTTCTACTTTTTATTATTTCATTTCAAGATTTACAAGATTAAGATTAACAAAATGTGCAGCAATTCAGCAATGTGGATTTGTCTCATAAACAAAATCATTAAATAAAAAAATTGTGAAAAGACTTTGTAGAGTTTGTAACAGAAAATAAAGAAATGTGTCAAAAACCGAGATTTTTCCCCAACAGTGCTGTTCTTAAAGTTCTCTGCACATTTCCTCTCTCTTCACATCAATCAGCTCTTCTACTCATAAACATCTCTAATGTTCTGCTAATAGAGAAACATTTAACATTTGATTTATAGTTTTTATATTTTTTATATATTTTAGGCTAAACACTCAAAACCCTTTTTTTTTATCTAAACCCAAACAAGACACAACATTTTCAGTATAAAAGTTAAAACAAAGCCTTCCTTCTGGGTAATTTTGTGAGTGTCCTGAAAAACACGAGCCTGCCAAGCCCAACTAAACAGTGCGTAATCATTTTTCAGTGCCACTTCAGGCTCTGGTTGGGCTGGTTTTCAAATAAGTGATTTTTTATGTACACTGTGAAAATTAAATAGAGCTTAAAAAAGTCAGTAACCTGTCTGACTAATGTTAAATTGATTGTTCTTCAAATAATGAGTGAACAGAATGTAACATGCACTGTTCTCTAACTTACTATTCGGTGTTCAGTGAATTTGAAATGTTGTTTTGAAGTGGAGTAGATTTGCCTTTTTACAGGAAAGTCAGGCTCTCTCTCTCTTTTTAAGATGTTCCATTAATAACTATTAATAAGCTCAGTTTAATTAATTCATAAGCCCTTAATAAGAGTAGTTGCACTCTAAAGTACTACCAAAAAAACACAAATATTGAAGAAAACTGCTACAAAATCAATCATTTTAGCCTGTAACTATCCCAAAAAAGCCATTCATTCATTCATTCAGTCATTCAATCATTCACATGTACACAAAGCCTACATTTCCCCTAAGCCTGCATGCTCTGACTGCTCTTTTGGCTGCTAGATGGCAGTGTAAGTCCACAGAGAGACAGATAAACTCGCTTGTCTGATCAGATGTTCAATAGGCGGAGCATTAGGGGAAATGAAACTCAGCCTTATTCGCAATCTGACAGCACTGCAGCCGAGAACATCAACAAAAGACGGGAAATATGCCATGATCAAAGCCATCCGCTCTCCGTGGGACTAAAAGTGGGTGATGTTTTTGATCTATGAAGCTAAACTTGTGTGTTTTAAAGCATTGTTTACAGCATAGTTATTCTGATCTTTGCCCTTATCTGGGAGGAAGTCACTCCGCTCTTTTTCGTCATGTTGGCAGTTTCTTTCTTTCTCTTAATATATCATATTCAAAGTGATCTGTTGTGTCATGGTGCTTGTCTTCGGTGAGTAATATCAGAAACTGTGCTGTTGAGTCCCACCCAGCTGCTTTCTTACTCAAAAATTCAGTTTCTACCTCCTTCTGTTTGCATGCACACCTGTGAACTAGGAACCATCCGGTGGTTTTTAGATGTGTGTGTTGCCTTCAGTGAAATGAAGCTTCTGTGGTGCAAAAGTCATTTCAGAGGAATCTGACAATAGTGACCAGCTGTATTACTCTATCTGTCCAAAAGTATCCAATGAGTGAACTCAGCTCCTCACCCATCGCTCACATAGGTGTTCACAGAATTTGCATAGTCTCTGTAGCACTGACCAATGGAACGGGACACTCTGGAACACCTGCAAATGAGCCTAATGTCCCCAAGCTCAGTGCCAAGTGTCGGCTAGAGGGGTATAAAGTTCTCCAACTTTGGGCTGTGGAGCAGTGAAATTACACTCTGTAACACTTTACTTGAATATATAGCTGTTATTCTATTGAACTAAAAACACATCACTGACTTTTAACTGGCTTGGACTTTAGACTAAAATCCTTTTGCCGTGAGTGACCATCTACCTTAATTACGTTTATTTTATTAAAACAAATGACTGAACATTCCATTTTGTTGCTAACAAAACATCCATAGCACTACTGAAACTTTACCAAAGGTTTCAGTTGTAACCATTCTGACAATTCTAGCTCATTTTGAGCAGACCTCAAAAACACTAGCCAGAACATGACCAGCAAACACGGCTTTGAACAGATGTGCACACATAAAATCATTAAAACACAAAAAAGCTTACTTAATTCCAGAAAATGTATGTTACAGTGGTGACAGTTCTTAATGTTCCACACTGATTTTCAGACTTTGGGACACATTGACTTCAATGGGATCTAACTGCTCACCATGTGGCTATGAAGGACAGGGATGCAGCCTCACTTCCTGCTCTAAAATCTCTGAATATTTAATTTTTTTAAGTTTTTTTATTTTATGTTTTTATTTATTTTTGTAGGCCTGCAGTTTGAAATAATTTGATAGAATGGTCCATATTTATATATATATATATATGTATAATTTCTTTCATTTTCAGTCAAAACCGCCATTTATATATAAACACACACACAGCCATGAGGAAAGCTTTGGAAATGCATTGAGACACATAAGTTCAGTACTTTTTGCATTATTGTTTGTATGTATTTTAATATTAGTTTGTTTGTATTTATTCTAATATTAGTGTTTTTTTTCTAGGAAATTAACATACTGCCCAGATCTATTTTGTATCTGGTGCCTTGTATCTCAGCATTTCTAGGTATTTTTTTAAGTTAAATTTGATTTTTATTAACTGTAATTTTGTCGTTTTGTTCCTGCAGTTACTTTTTAGAGAAATGAGATTTTGTTCCAGAGGCATCTATATAGGAAATTTGGCCTTATTATTGTCTCATAACAAGAAAACATATTTGAGGACAATCTGTTGAACCTGTGGTGCTGGATTGCGCCAACATGCAACAATGACAAAAGTTTGCCCCCCCCCAATTCCTCTAGTCTGGGCTTTTTAATGTCCAGATGCAATGATAACATAAGCCAAGCTACCTTGCAAACTGGTACATGTTCTTGTCTAGCAAGAGGTAATGTTTATTTTAAGCACGTGTAATGTGTTCTCTGCTCACTCAACACATCTGCATGCTCAGCTGGAGTTTTTAGGGGGACATTTCAGTGATGATAATTTACATTACATCCACAGGTTAACAGCAGGCTTGTCGGACAGTTTTGATGACGCACCATTGCCCTCTACTTTGAGCTCCGCATCACATAACTCTGGATTCGTTTAGATATTTTCTCACTCAGTTTGTTCCAACCCTAATAAGTCTTCTTAACCACTCACATTATGTTCATAATTAAATAGTTAAGATGTAAACAAAGTCATTCAGAGTGGTTTGGTGTGAAATGCCCTGTTCTAGAGAAACTTACCGAGACTCTAAAAGCTCCCACACAGAATGTTATTACATGGAATAGTTACGTATACGCTGCCTGATGTCAGACACATTGTTTTATGACATTTTGATAGATACGGTTTTGGTCTAAAACATATTTTCCAAAATCTATTCATGGTGGAAAGGGACAGGCAGAGTGTTATAAGACAATATAGACTCCAAAACCATATGTTTTCAGATTTACCACCAATTCACCATCATTACCATTACATGTAAAACTCAGAAGACATGTGTAGGTTCACTGGTGGTCTTGATAGTAAATAAACATTTAAATAAACTACATTTGTGTTGTAGACATGGTGACCCCTGGTTCCTATCAGCACCACTGTAAAGAAATCTGAGTCTGTACGTTTCTCTACAATGAACTATTTCACACCAAACCACTCTGAATGACTTTGTTTACATCTCAAACACTGAATTATGCAGACATTTTGACATATTGGTGGAATTCCTTTTTAAATCTTAGTAGTTTGTCTTTTTCCAAATAAGTGTTTTGGAGTCTTTTACAGTAACAGCTGAATTACTTTCACTGTAATTGATGGTGGAAGGCCTAATGCTGACATTACACGATAGAAAGTAATTTTACCTAAAATATTAGGTAATTACTTCTACTCACGTGTCTGTTTACTTGCAGAATACCTGAAATTAGTCAAAGACCACTGAAGGAAGTCCCACCGAGGGCTACATCAGTTTCATCTCTCATCACAGTGACGTCTGAACTGACTTTTAATAAAAGCCACACTGATCCTGAGCCAGAGCGGTGAGGTTTTCTGCACCCCTTCACTCTCAGTGTTTATAGGGTTAATCACGCACATGCATCAATGATTTGATCTCAGACTCAACAGCATGAATGAACTGATCGTATGCTGTTGAAGGGAAAGCAGACAGGGAGGGAAGTGCGTGAGAAGAACAGGTGGGTAATGGAGGAAACATCCGGCCTTCAAGATGAAGACACGTCCACAACACAGAGGTAATTTAATGCTTATTAAAACATACGGTGCCAGGAAAAAGTTTGGACACACTAGATTAACTGCATATTTATGCTTAACCTTTTAACCACTTGAAATCTCAGGCTTATTACATACCAAGCCTTATTATTCAACTAACTACAGGGACTTCAATGCAAACTGGCTGAGTAGTTTTTATAGGTATGCCTGAAGTTTTATTACACACTAATTTACACATCCTCTACAGAGAACACACTTAAATATGGCTTTTTTTGCTTAAGCATAAAATTTGTATTTGTTGAGTTTCACATACTTGGACATAAAATATAAAATGTGCCATAATTTTATTTTTTCATCAGTACATTAAATCCAGCAAATAAACAGCAACTAATTGTGTATTAAAAGTAATTGTGTATTAAAATGTGCAGAATATGAAGACTGAACAAGAATCCCTCTCTTGTGTATGGAAAGTATGTTTAGCTTGTAATTCAAATAAGTGAAGAGTAATTTGACACGATGAGATTCTAAATACATGCTTAAATAATTTTTTTTTAAAGTAGCTTTAGCTTTGAATCATATTTTCAATTTATAGATTTTACAAAGGAATTTAATTTAGATGCTTGAAAATGACATTCATTGGGAAAAAACGATTCCTTACTGGATTTTTTCCTAGTTTAAATGTAATATTTACTAGTGGAATGTCAGTTTTAACATGTGTACACTAAATTCTAGAGATCAAAAATCAAATATTAAGTAGCTGGAATGTAATTTTCACTCTTGTAAACTGAATTTTCAGTCAAAACCGCCGTTTATATATAAACACACACACAGCCGTGAGGAAAGCTTTGGAAATGCATTGAGACACATAAGTTCAGTACTTTTTGCATTATTGTTTGTATGTATTCTAATATTAGTTTGTTTGTATTTATTCTAATATTAGTGTTTTTTTTCTAGGAAATTAACATACTGCCCAGATCTATTTTGTATCTGGTGCCTTGTATCTCAGCTTTTGTCATTTCTAGGTATTTTTTTTTAAGTTAAATTAGATTTTTATTAACTGTAATTTTGTCGTTTTGTTCCTGCAGTTACTTTTTAGAGAAATGAGATTTTGTTCCAGAGGCATTTATATAGGAAATTTGGCCTTATTATTGTCTCATAACAAGAAAACATATTTGAGGACAATCTGTTGAACCTGTGGTGCTGGATTGCGCCAACATGCAACAATGACAAAAGTTTGCCCCCCCCCAATTCCTCTAGTCTGGGCTTTTTAATGTCCAGATGCAATGATAACATAAGCCAAGCTACCTTGCAAACTGGTACATGTTCTTGTCTAGCAAGAGGTAATGTTTATTTTAAGCACGTGTAATGTGTTCTCTGCTCACTCAACACATCTGCATGCTCAGCTGAAGTTTTTAGGGGGACATTTCAGTGATGATAATTTACATTACATCCACAGGTTAACAGCAGGCTTGTCGGACAGTTTTGATGACGCACCATTGCCCTCTACTTTGAGCTCCGCATCACATAACTCTGGATTCGTTTACATATTTTCTCACTCAGTTTGTTCCAACCATAATAAGTCTTTTTAACCACTCACATTTAGCCCCAAACTGTTCATAATTAAATAGCTAAGATGTAAACAAAGTCATTCAGAGTGGTTTGGTGTGAAATGCCCTGTTCTAGAGAAACTTACCGAGACTCTAAAAGCTCCCACACAGAATGTTATTACATGGAATAGTTACGTATACGCTGCCTGATGTCAGACACATCGTTTTCTGACATTTTGATAGATACGGTTTTGGTCTAAAACATATTTTCCAAAATCTATTCATGGTGGAAAGGGACAGGCAGAGTGTTATAAGACAATATAGACTCCAAAACCATATGTTTTATTACACACTTCTATAACCTAAGAATAGCTCAGCCAGTTTGCATTGAGGTATGTCATAAAACGTTGGGCCTGGCGATTTAAGGGGTTAAACTCTAAGGGTCTTTATGTGGGTCCACACTTCACTTTCGTGTGTAAATTACACATTAGTTTCATTGTAGTTACTGAACCATTTCCAGCTGTATGCAAAGCATGTGTCTCCCAGTGTTTTGTTGATTTTCTAAATGAAAATAATTTACACATCCTCTACAGAATTCATGAAAAGCTAAAATAGCTTTCCACAGTAATTAGAATTTCAGAACGTGAATTTATTTTAATTGTGTAGGAAAAAAAACACGTGAAATTTTGATTTATGTTAGTAGTTGATTGCTTGAATTATATAAAATGAAACACTACATACTTATATACAATTCCTATTACCCATTTTTTATACATCATTGTTTGATTATATATATATATATATATATTATATATATATAATATCGCTACCATCCTCATATCTCCATTTTTCAGTTTTTGACATAATTTGAAAATACCTGCTGCCCTTTACATTGTGTGTAAATGTCATGATGAATGGACCGAAAGAAATGACGCAAAATTACTTGGAAAAAAGTCTGGTTCCATTTCCTGTAAAGTTACCATTTTGGAGAAACAAGGTGTTGTTCCGATAACAGCGATATATATGTAATTATATGTGGCTCTTGCTTAGAACACCAGTGAAAATACCACAGAGTTAAAAGACACTGGTGCCCTAATCACCGCCACAGTGACTTGGGTCAGATTTACCATGCTGTACATTTTGTGTGCCGTTGCACTGTTACCGCCGAGTTCAATGAATTTGGCTCAGTTACTCCGAAGTGAAGACAAAGGCAGCTCGAGCTCAAACAGACATTACTCACCACGTGCGCTTTGTGCTTTCTTTTATTTGTATGCATTTGCCTCAGCCCAGTAGATAAAAAGACACCCAGTTCACATTGTTTGCTGCACTGTACACAAATGATTGTGAAAGATTGTGAATGAACTATTGAAAATAATTGCGATCAGCTCAAATAACTGTAATCGGGTGATTAGTTAATAATTATGACAGGTCTAGTCCTCCCACTTAAGATTTAATCACCATCATTATAAAGAAGGCTTTTGTCACTTTCTAAGTTTAGTGCATGGAAACAAAGCAGCGTAGATGATCAGTCATTACAAGCAGTGTTCTTTATTTTCACAGTGTGAAATCAGCCCCGTCTATATTGAGCTACGCTTCAGAGAAAACTACCGCCTCTATGAAACGTCGAATCACATTTCAAGGGGAAAAATCCCCCAATCTCAGGTAACTTAGACTTTCATATGTTTTTCAGTCCAGGTTTTAGTTAATCTTTTAACAGGCCAGGGCCTAAAATTTTATTACACACTTCTATAATCTAAGAATAGCTCCACCAGTTTGCAATGAAGTCCCTGTAGTTACTGAATAATAAGGCTTAGTGTGTAATAAACCTGGGATTTTAAGGGGTTAATATGACTAGAGACATGAACTTACAGGGTCAAATATGGTCAATTTTGATTTCAGGTTGACTTTAATTCACTTTAGTGGTTGTCATAGATTTGTATGCAGATGTATGTGATGTTTAAGTTAAAAGGCTGTGGCTATTTTTGAAGAAACCATTAGTTGATGGATGCTGACACTTTGCCTTTAAACAAAACGCTTAGCCTCTTATTGACCAGGGTATATTTTGATTTGTCCATCTGAATTTAAATGACCAAATCGTAAGGCAAATTATTCAGTAATTGCACGAAATAAATGTAATTTTTTTTTTTTTTTCGTAAAAGTTCCCCTCAAATTAACAGAACGTGTTTTATGATCACACATATTGCTATATGCTTACAGTTTACTGCTGAAAGCCAAAAATCTGAGACACTCTTTGTATTATTTTATAAAAATAATGTTTACAGAGCAGATCACTGAAGAGACGCCATCTGTTTATAGTTTATAGTCCAGATTTGTGGAAAAATGGGTCGTCTTTCAGTAAAAAAAAAAATTGTGAGTTCAGCTTCTTTTATTATAAGGGTATAAATTTCCATCACCCATCTGTTTGACTGGAAAGAAGACAGTTACAGCTCTCATATGACGCCCACCTTTTGAATGAAGCTTATGAAATATGAAAGTTATGAAGAATATGACGAAGTGCGTTTTGGAACCACCGGTAGTCTCTAGGAGTTGAAAACGTTAGCTATCTTGCTGAATCGGCTCAAATAATTGCAACAGTCTTAATCTTTAAACTTATGGTGATATAATCACCATCATCATAAAAAAGGCTTTTTTTTTTAGTTCAATGCATCTAAAAAAAGTAGAGCTAACTGCTGTACAAAGTGTCAGAATACAATCAGATACATTCGCTAGTGGGGGTCTGAAGCACAACCCATGTTATAAAATGTTCTTCGGCATCTTTAATATACACTGTAAAAAGTCTCGTCAGATCTACCTAAAAAAAAAATACTTAATGTGGTAACGAGCAATTGAACTGCTTTTATTCAACTCAAAGAATGACATTAATTAAAAAAATATTCAAAGTATTGATTTAGGTTGAATAAAACTAGTTAATTTACTTGTTACCACATGAAGTAATTTTTGTCGGTTGATCTAACGAGCCACTTTTTACAGCGTAGGTGCAGAGCAGTGATCAGTAATGTGTTGTAAGAAGGTTACAGGTTGTTACAGATACTGAAGTGTTGTTGTTTCTTTTGGATCTGTCCATGTTCCTGCAGTCCAGTTCAGCAGGACAGATCAGTCCCATCAGCACCCAGCTGTGTGTCTCTCAAGAGTGACCATTCCATGGAGCCTCCAATCACCATTAATGATAAACCCCCACCTTCTGGACATCAGTAAGAGTCCTGACCTCTCTGACATATACACTCTATATATAATACAAACCCCATTTCCAAAAGGAAAAAAAAAAGATTCCCTTTGGTTTCACTGACCAACGTAATTCTATTTTGTACATTTAAAAAAATATATAGAATTCGATGCCTGCAAGCTGAGACAAAGGCATGATAACCAGTGTGTTACATTACTTCTCCTTTTGTTTACACTTTTTAATCATTTGGGAACTTTGGAGACTAATTGTTGTAGTTTTGCAAGAGGAATTTTTGCCCATTCTTGCTTGATACAAGACTTCAGCTGCTCAACAGTCCGTTGTCATTGTTATCTGATTAACCTCTTTATGATATACATTTTCTGAAGAAGACAGATCTGGACTGCAGCCAGTCAAGCACACACAATCTGTGTCTGCAAAGCCACACCGTTGTAGCACATGCAGAATGAGGCCTGACATTGTCTTGCTGAAATAAGCAGGGATGTCCCAGGAAAAGATATCGTCCTGATGGCAGCATGTATCTCTCTAAAATCCCAATATACGCCCCACGTCAATGGTACCTTCACAGATATGCATGTATGCTGTTGGCACTGATGCACCCTTGTACCATGACAAATGTTGACTTTTACACCTTTCGCTGATAAAAAGTCTGGATGGTCTTTTTGTCTTTGGCACGGAGAACTCAACGTCCGTTTTCCCAAAAAAAAAAAATTGAAACATGGACTCATCTGACCACAGCACACATTGTCTTTCTGACCATCTGAGATGAGCTTGGGCCCAGAGAACTCGGCGGTGTTTCTGCATAGAATTGATGTATGGCTTTCTTCTTGTGTAATAGAGTTTCGAGTTTCTTTATGCAGCAGTGGACTTTTTTTCAAAATACTCCCAAGCCGCCATATTGAACACATATTTAACACAGTAGCATGATGGCTTCTCATGCAGTGCCATCTGAGGGCTCAAAAGTCACATACATTCAGCAGTCGTTTCTGGTCTTGCCCTACATGGACTCAGATTTCTCTGTATTCCCTGAATATTTTCACAATATTACGTATGGCAGATTGAGAAAGACCTACATTCTTTGCAATCTAACATTGAGAAATTTACTCTTTGAACTCTTGACAATGCTTTCACAAAGTTTGGCACAAAATGGTGAGCCATGACCCATCTTTGCTTGCAAAGACAGAGCCTTTGATGGATGATCCTTTTATATCCAATCATGATACCCTCACCTGTTACCAATTCATCTGCTTGTTGTGAAATGTTTCAAAACAGTGTAACTTGAATATTCTATTTTATTCTATTCCTTTTTATTTATTCTATATAACTTTTCACTCTTATTTTGCCTCTGTCCCAACTTTTGAGTGTGTTGCAGGCATCAAATTCAAAATCTATTTACATTTACAAAATATAATCGTTATTGTATAAAAGTTGGTCAACCAAAACATTAAAAGGTCATTTTTTTTGTATCTGTTTGTTAGATAAAGGTTCAAAAGAATATTCTTGTTTTTATTGCATTTTATAAAATGTCCAAACTTTTTTTGTACATTATGATACACAGATTTTTTTTGCTTTTGTCCTCCTTTTTCTTGTACAACTTATAAGCAAAATATATGTAAAATCAAGCTTTTACTGTGCTGTATAGAATTGTTGGCACTGATGGTAGCAAAGTTTAGCAGGTTGATCTTTCATAAAGGCCATCTACAACTGGACATCATTACACATGCATAAAAACTAAATACTTGAGTATTTTAATTTTAAGAAGTTTTTGAAATAAAATGAGACTGTAATAACACAAAGGCCCTTAAACTAAAGCAAGGGGAATTCCTAAGTGTTGAAAGATGAAAGATTCCGCCCTCAAACTAAAGTAAGAATTTTCATACATATTTTTCAGTGTGGGCGGCACGGTGGCGCAGTGGGTAGCGCTGTCGCCTCACAGCAAGAATGGCCTGGGTTCGATTCCCGGCTGGGTGACCAGGGTCGTTTCTGTGTGGAGTTTGCATGTTCTCCCCGTGTCTGCGTGGGTTTCCTCCGGGTACTCCGGTTTCCTCCCACAGTCCAAAAACATGCAGTCAGGTCAATTGGACGTGCTAAATTGCCCCTAGGTGTGAGTGTGGATGTATATGTCTGTTTGTCTGCCCTGCGATGGACTGGCGACCTGTCCAGGGTGTATCCTGCCTTCCGCCCGATGACAGCTGGGATAGGCTCCAGCACCCCACCGCGACCCAGAAGGATAAGCGGTTTAGATGATGGATGGATGGATTTTTCAGTGTAATATTTAGAAGAAATACGGACATTCTGTACTTGAGTAAAGGTAGAAATACTCTTGGTAAAATATGACTTAATGAAAGGTAGAAGTCCCTTGACTGTACTTCCACTAAATAAATGTACTTTGTATGTTGCTCTTAAATGCATTTTTGTACTTTAACTCAAGAAGAAATTCACAAAAGTGATATATAACATTCTTAATTAAGTCATTAAGTCAGACTTTTACTGCTTGGGAATGGTGCTTCATAATAGTGTCATAAATGGGATAAGTGACAATTTTTTTTCATAAAACATCTTGCAGATACCAACATCAGCTAAAGTATGCTCAAGTATCACTTTTAAAATTAATTGTTCAATTTTTATGCATGTGTTCTGAACTCCCTATAAAGGTAGCCTTCAAATAAAAGTTAACCAGATTATCAGTAATTCTGACAATGTAAATGATAAAAGGGAACATTTAAAAGCCACTGATTAACTACACACTACTGATATTTAAGTAGACAGTCTTATAACAGCATTTCATCTTGTTTCTCAGTTGATGTCTTTCCAACTTTGATCGATCATAGTGGAACAATGTGCATCTTTTGTGAATTAGTTCAGCCTGTCGCAAGCTGCATGTGTGTACATTACAAAGAAAAGCTGTTTTACTCATCCAAGTTACAGTGAAAATCACCGTGCATCGTACAGGAGGGTGGGAAAAAATACATTTCAGTAAAATGCTTAACCCTGAGTGGGTCGGTGGGGACTTTCCCATGTAGTTGAATAAAGTCAAAGTTTGTCTGAAGTTTGCTTCTTTTGTTCTGCACAGGAGCTGTAAGGCTAAAATAGTTAGCAAGTTATAGAAGCTTTTATCTCACCAGTTAGTGTAGTTCATACTACATCCTACATTTCAGTAGTGTTTTTGCATGTATTAGCATCAGTGAAGTAGCTAGTATGTTCAAACGTCTCAAAAAATGTCAAAATTTGCATAACATTTTTTAGACGTTTGAACATACTGTACATTTATTTGATGAAACTGCTTTGTCTGAATTTAATCTTTGTAAAACCGGTGCATTGCCTTTATTTTTAATGCTGCCCACCATGTAGCTTTTAGCATGCTAACTAGCAAGCTTGTGGAGTAATGAAGCTATATCAGCGGTCATGTATAACAGCGGGCATAGTTTATTACCTAAAACCCAGCCTGAACAGAGCAAATGAAATATGCTCTGGTTATGGTTTTGTAAAATATCTCATTGCTCTGCCTTTAATAACAGCTGCAATTTTTTTCAGGTTGGTAATGCATAATGATTTCTGGACAAGTCAACATTTATGTTCACTCGGTCTAATAAACTTCACTTGTGCTAATATAATAATGGATCGGCCCTTAAATATGCATTAGCAGACTTCTTTCTTTCTGTGCTGGTTCAAATAACCTGGAAAATAGAACATGATTAAAAAACAAAAAAAAAGCCAAACAACTTAACAAGAAACACACTAAGAAAAGAACCTACATTGGAAGCACTTTTTCAAAGATGGAATTATAACATGCAAAGGGGATGAAATTGGATGCAGAACTAGCAACGTTCCCCAAATACAGATCTCGGTAACACTTTATATGGATGGTCCACTGTAGAATCTTTGTAAATGTGCAGCAAATCTTTAAATAACATTCAACGAAATAGTCATTAAATGGAACTTATCATGAGGTTGAGTGTTATTTGGATGGTCCACTGCAAATCCTTTGTAAATGCATTCAACTACACATTCAACTAAACATCTATTAAATTCAACTGAACCTGAAGTTCAGTGTGAAGGAGTTTATGAAATCTGTCCCTAAACCCTAAACCTAAAAATAACCCTAACCTTAACCTCAAAGCAAAACCTACATCTACTCCTAACCCTAACCCTAACCACAATGTTGTTGATACTCAACTGAACATCACCAGAAAGTTTGTTGATCATTTAAGTATCTGTAAAGCATCTATAGGGGACCATCCACATAAAATGTGACCCACATTTTCAGCTTTAAGATGACATCAGGGATTCATAACACAAGAAACCACAAGGCCAAACTGACGAGAACTTGTTAAAAACGCTACTGAAACGGGTGGCATGCCTAAACAATCATCTGCCCCAGATCTCTAACCGGCCTTCTTCTCCCACTATGTCACATTCTGTTAACTATAAATTTGAATATAGACTAGAGCACAGACAACACCCAGGTTTCAGAATGATGACTTCGACTCGTATGATGCCTTATGTCCAAGTTTATGGATAACAGCAAGTCATACAGTTTTAGGAACCCGTTAGCAAATTTATTTGAGATTACTCAACTACTTAACACAGTTTGAGGCAAGTATGAAGTTTGAACCGTGCTAATTGGTGGGGTTGAAGCTTCCACTACTTGTTAGCTATGTTAGCCTCATAGCTCCAGTACAAATCTGAAGAAGCAGCCTACAGACACCAAACATGTCTTGGATGATCTACTGCATTTCAATTTTGTAAAAAACGATAAACCTTCACCTTCTGGACATCAGTAAGGGTTCCTCATTTCAATATTTTTAACATGCTCTTGGCCTCGGCTATGTTGGTTTCAGTGAAGTAGATAGTCATGCAAATATTATTGCTGGTAATAATATTCTGGAGATAGAACATAAAAAAGAACTAATTTAGCAATGGCATCAGCACAAGTTGTTACAGATACTGAAGTGTTGTCATCTCTTTTGGTTCTATTCATGTTCCTGCAGTCCGGTTCAGCAGGACAGATCAGTCCCATCAGCACCCAGCTGTGTGTCCCTCAAGAGTGACCACTCTATGGATCCTCCGATCACCATTAATGATAAACCCCCACCTTCTGGACATCAGTAAGAGTTCTGACCTCTCTGATATTATTACTCTTCATATAATACAATAAATTATTATAATACATTGATGTTTTTACTTTTTTCAGTGTCATATGTTTACCATATAAACACTGTATCAAATATAACATGTTAATACCATTTTTAATACAACGGAGATCCTTGATGTTCTCCTTGAACTAAATACCAACCTTGGTTTGGCACCTTTGTCAGAATGACGTCGCTGAGAAGTAATGAAACTAGCAGTACTGTGGAACAGAGCATCTGTGTCAGTCCTAAAGGCCCTGCAATGTAAGTGACTACAGTCATATGCAATAGTTTGAACATGCTGGTCAAATAACGTTTTGTTGATTTTCTAAGTAAAAATAAGTTGGCACATCCTCTATAGAGAACACACTTAAATTTGGCATTTACTTTTATTATTTTTAATCAATTTCATTTAATTTGTTTTGTTTCGTTTCATTCAATTTTGTTTAACATATTGGGAAAAAATAAAATATAAAATATTAAATGGTGTAAGTTTTGCACAGGCCACATTTTATCTGCTATTTTTTCCCCAATATGTTAAAATCAGCAAATACACAGTAATTGTGAATTAAAATGTGCAGAAGTGTGTTCTCAATAGAGGATCTGTGACCTTATTTACACCTAATAAAATCAACTCTACAAAAAATGGAACATGCTTAGGGTGCCCAAATTTTTGCACACAAAAGTATATATCATTGCTGCCGTCTAAGAACTTAGAAACTCAGCATTTTTTAGCTTTTTAGTTAGTTTTTTAACACATGCCAGTCATTCTTTACATTCATGATATATGCACTGACATACATTCCTAAGACCTTAAGATTATAATTAAGTTAAGACTCATTATTCAGTAACTACATGGGCTACAAGGGAAAACAAGAATTTTGCTTTTAAATGAAATAATACAATGAATCATGTTTAATATGACCACAGACATTAGATAACAAGGTAAAAATAGTGAATGAGTAAGTAAGTCTCAATCCAGTTGCAAACTCAGTCAAAATACTGGAACAAATAGCTTATTACAGATATTACATTAATGTATTACAAGAGTTCATATCGCCGCTGTTGGAACAAAACCTCATATCTCCATTTTTGTTGTTTTTCAGTTTTTGACATAATTTGAAAACACCTGTTGCTCTTTACATTGTGTGTAAATTACACGATGAATGGATCAAAATAAATGGCCCTAAATGACTTGGAAAAAAGTCTGGTTCCGTTGACTACATTTAAAGTAAAGTATGTTTTTTCCTTCTCCTGTAAAGTTTCCATTTTGGAGGTTTTGTTCAGACCACAGCGATATATTACTGTAGAATAAGTAGACACTGCAAACATTTAGATCTCTTGGTGATGTTAAGGGTTAAATACTTCCAGTCATAATACATACAAAGATTAATTTTTTCAAGTCAAAACTTGTAACACTCTTAAAATTTGCATGCTTCTACCCATTATAGTGCACAATTTCTATTTTTATCTATTTAGAAAACCAACAATCATCTAATTTGACCAGGGACACTGTATAAAGTTTTGTTACACCTCTAACTATAGTTATTATATATTGTGTTTTTTTTTGGATACTGTTTATGTGTTCAGTTATTAACAATCTGTACATTTGAATAATGTGACGATTTCTTAGGTTATCATTTACTGGGCATGAATCGTACGAGAAGTATAAAGCCAATCTGAAGGATAGGTTTCAACGATTATCTGACGGACTACAACATCATGGACATTCAGTGCTCCTTAATGAGATCTACACGGAGCTCTACATTACTGAGGGAGGAATTGGAGAGGTCAATAATGAACATGAAGTGAGACAGATTGAGATGGCAGCCAGGACACAGTCATCAACGGACGACACGCCAATCAAATGCAACGATATCTTTAGACCTTTGCTTGGACACGATAAACTGATCAAAACCGTGCTAACAAAGGGGGTGGCAGGTATCGGAAAAACTGTCTCTGTGCAGAAGTTCATTGTGGACTGGGTTGAAGGTGAAGCAAATCAGGACATTCGCTTCATATTTCCACTTCCTTTCAGGGAGCTGAACTTGATCAACACCCAGCCCTTCAGTCTGGAGGGTCTTGTTCATCATTTCTTTCCGCAAATTAAAGACATGAAGTTCACCCACATTGCTGATCACAACACTGTATTTATCTTTGATGGCTTGGATGAACGTCGATTGTCCTTGAACTTCCTAAACGGTGCAGTCATAACCGACGCAACTGACATGACCACAGTGGACGTTCTGTTGACAAACCTCATCAAGGGCAATCTGCTTCCCTCTGCAAAAATCTGGATAACCTCCCGGCCAGCTGCAGCAGGCCAGATTCCTGTCGAATTCATTAGTCAAGTCACAGAGATTCGGGGGTTCAATGACCCTCAGAAAGAAGAATACTTCAAGAAAAGAATCACTGACCAAAGTCTGGCTGACAGAACCATCATGCACCTGAAATCTTCAAGGAGCCTCTACATCATGTGCCACATACCGGTCTTCTGTTGGATTTCGGCCACCGTTCTGGAGAAGATGTTGAGAGATGCAGAAGGTACAACAATACCCAGGACTTTGACCCAAATGTACACACATTTTCTCATCATCCAAACGTGCATCAGAAAGGAGAAGTACAGTCAGACTGGACACACTGATAAAGAGATGATTTTCAAGCTTGGGCAGCTTGCCTTCAAACAATTGATAAAAGGCAACCTGATCTTCTACGAAGAAGACTTGAAGGAGTGTGACATTGATGTCAAGGATGCAGTAGTATACTCGGGAGTGTGCACACAGATCTTCAGAGAGGAGTCTGAACTGTATCTTGGACAGGGCAAGGTGTTCTGCTTTGTCCACTTGAGCATTCAGGAACATCTTGCCGCTTTGTACGTGTATGTATCCTTCAGTGAAGGTAACAAAGCGGTGCTCAATCAGTGGAATCCAACAAAGATTGCTGCTACATTTTCATGTTCATCCATCTCTGACCTTCAGCAGAGTGCAGTGGACAAGGCCTTGAGAAGCACAAACGGTCAGTTTGACCTGTTTCTCCGCTTCCTTCTTGGCCTTTCCCAGGAAAGCAACCAGTCTCTCCTGCAAATGCTGCTGCCACAGGTATCAGCTTGTGGTTCCCATAATGTTGAAAAGACAATCGATTATATCAAGATTCGCCTCAGGATGAACCTCTCTCCAGAGAAGTACATCAACCTCTTTCACTGCCTGAACGAGCTGAATGACTCTTCCCTGCAAGATGAGATACTAAACTTACTAAGTGCTGGACGCCTCTCAAAGACCAAACTCTCCCCAGCACAGTGGTCAGCTCTGGTGTTTGTGTTGCTGACCTCAGAGAGGGAAGTGGAGGTCTTTGACTTGAGGAAATACAGCCTGAACAACGCAGACGAATGCCTTTACAGAATGCTGCCTGTCGTGAAGGCCTCAAGAACAGCCGAGTAAGTTTCTGAGTGTGTTAAACATTAGGAATCTTATAAAGTTTAAAGTATTTGGTGAAAAATCTGACTTTCTGCTTACCCCAAATGTAGTTGACAACTTTTGAACTGAAGCTAAGTGGCTAATGTGGCTACAAGTAATGAAAGCCTATATTCCACTAATTCACATGCAGTCTGCATACTTAAGTTATTATATACTTGCCTCAAACTGTAACGTACGTAGCCTCTAATAGACTTGCTAATGTGGGTTCTGACACAATATGATATACTGCTTTCTAGATACATGAACAGTAAGGCTGTAGACGTCTGTTACCCAACCTGAGCCTGACAGGACCCAATAAAATATAAAGTTTCAGCCCAGCTTCAGGACGATTTTTCTTGTGCAACAACAGGCTCATGTCAGGCTTATGTGGTCTCTCTCTCCCACTCTCTCATAAGGTTAGCTGCTTTCAGAATAGCTTCAGAGTGTGAGGAGTGGGTGAACATGCCGCTGAATAGAAGTTCAACTGTAAATCAGTCTCATTCTTGGATGATGTGAGGGATGTGTTGGGTTGGTGAAAGATCACATATTGCACAGATCTCACCTGAACTATTTCTGCAGTAGCAGCAGTGGCAGGAGGAACTTGAGCACAGCAAGGCTATCAGGAAGAGGGTGGGTACTGTTCTCCGCCAGATATGACCAACAATTCCACAAAATATATACTGATAATAAATATTGGCAAAGCACTATTAATGTTTGGACCGGATTCAGATTTAAAATTTAGCAGCGCCCGTCAGGCTGGATTGAGTTGAGTCTCAAACCCGTGGATACAGGTTGGGTTCAGACTGAAATTTCATTCCTATTAAAATCTGTGCATTAGAGGTCTTTGGTCCTAACCCTGTCATGTGGAGGCTGTCCTTTAGCTGGCTTTCACTATGAGGTGTTTACATGTTTCAAAACAGTGCTGTACTAAAGCCACTGAGAAGCAAAATTAAGCAGAAGTGAATTCTGCAACTCCATCACAAAACCCAAAACACAATGAAAAAAGTTACTTTTAAAGTAAAAAAGTGTTCAGGGTAAATGTGGTAATATCAGGCAGGATGTTACTGAGTACAATAACATAAATAGGAGCATGTTTCAGCTTAAAATGTTCTGCTCAAAATGTTACTGTCAGAAACCACACATTTGATGATTACATGTGATGACATTGTCATTCTGTTTGTTTGACTGATATCTTGGTGACTTTTTTCAAGATTACACGAAAGTGATTTTGTAATGTAATTTAGTGTATTGTGATTTACCTTCCAGGGTCAGGCATTGTAACCTCTCCGATAAAGGTTTTCAAGCTCTGACTTCAGCTCTGAGCTCAAAATCTTCAAATCTTAGAGAACTGAAACTCAGTGGTAATGTAATGCATGGGTCTGGCACACAAATTCTTTCTGAAGGTCTCAAGAGTCCACACTGTAAACTGGAGACACTGGAGTGAGTTAATTTTCTTTTTTGAACAATTTTAATCATTGTACTCAAACAGTTGAACGATTTAAGTTCTTTTAACATTTCAGAATATTGTTTTCTTTTCTTTTTAATGAAAACAGGTCATGCACAACAAATACTGATCCAAATGAAACTATTTTTTCCTCCTTCCTTTTGCCATCCTTTTTTTCAGTCTGTCTGATTGCGAAATCAAAGAAAAAGACTGCTGTTTGCTGGCCTCAGCTCTCAACTCAAACCCTCTGCACCTGAGAGAGCTCGATTTGAGCTTCAACTTTCTTGGAGATTTTGGTATGAAGCAGCTCTCTGAGGTCCTGCGGAAACCAAGCTGTAGGCTGGAGAAATTAAAGTTAGTGCCATCCTTTACTTATCACATCACTTACCTGAAACAAGAACATAATGTTTTTAACTGTAAACTGATGTTTATTATCAGGTTGTTTTGCTGTGAACTAACAGCGAAGAGCTGTGTGGCCCTGTCCATAGCACTGAAATGCAACACCAGCTTGACTGAGCTGGATTTGAGTAAAAATGCTCTTCAGGACTCTGGAGTAAAGCAGCTCTCTGCAGGACTGAGGAATTCTCACTCGAAGCTCAGGAGTCTTAGGTGAGATCTGGCCTAATCTTATTAATATTTTTCCTTAATCATGCACCAGTGATCTTCAAACTGAATGTGTACTTTCAGAGCTTTGTAATAACCTCCACAGACATTTGCATTGCATACAAGTGGAAAATTCCTTAGTGCATAGATTTAATTACAGTTTTGGCAGCTCTCTGTCAGCTGTACATAGCTGTAGCCCTAACAGTTTAGGGACGCCAGGTTGAACGGGCAGTGGCCCATTTAATGAGGGCTGAAGTCACTGTTATACTTTGCCATCGCCCACCAAACCCCTAGGAATGGCACTGGATAAAACAGTTCTGTCAGGACGTAGTGCCAAACACAATTTCTGCTCCCATTACATTAACATGTTTTTGAAAAATCTCTTCCAATCACATTTTTGCATTTTTGGCTTTTCAAAGTTTTTTGTTTTTTCAAAATTTACATAAAAGATGTGCATAGTAAACTCTGAATGCAGCAATATGTGATTTTTTTCTTCACACTGAAAGAAGCAGCATTACTGAGTATGGAGAAAAAGAAAACACTTAAATATGGTGTGCATGCACTGCTATGACTAAAACTGTAAAGCCTGAAATAATCATTAAAATAAAAAAACACAGGTATGGGACACATTTGGTGGGGGTTTTTCAGACCACATAATCTTTAAAATATTAACGTCACATGCACAGGTTCAAAAAGAAGGTCCGACTCGATGTTTAGATCTCAAATGCAAAATCAACATTATACTGATAAAGATATGATCATAATAGTAGATAATTCACTCACTTGAAGACACATCCTTCACCATGTGTTGAGTTCTCTTTGAATTCTCTATCAACACATTCACAATCATCAGGTTCATCCACCTGGGGAAGGAGTCTGACGAACAACCCACATTACAAAATGTTCTTTGACAAGTTCTGTGCAATTACACATTTCCACCAGAGAGGTCTCCAAATCACAAAATCATGCATAGTGTTGCTTTAAGAGATGGCTAGATAGTGTTGCCAGATGGAAAAAAAGTTTAAGAATTTCACACATCATTTTAAACGTTGTTCAAAAGTTGTGTTTAAAGTATGTAGTTTCATAGAAAATATCATCGCTGTCCAAAGGAAAACAAGTATCTCCAAAATAGTAACTTTACAGAAAAAGACAAAAACACTCTGACCTTTCAATGTAAGTCAATGTAAAGACATTTTATTCCAAGTGACTTTAGAGCATTTCCGTTGGTCCATTCATCATGAATTTTTTACACAACATAAAGGACAGCTGGTGTGTTGAAATGATGTAGAAAACTAAAAATCGACAAAACTAGAGATACATGGTTTTCATTGGACAGCGATGATATATATTTTTAGGTCTTTGCTGATGTTTCCTGTTGGTGTATTTTTGCTGCAGCTTTGTTTTTAATACTGCCTGCCCTGAACGTCACAAAAAAATAACAGTCTATACTCTTTGACGATAGGCAGAAATCTGGTTTGTGAGACTACTTTTCACCTAATTATTGCCTTCATAATTCCTCAATTAGCTGAATGAGGTGTGTCAGATTGGGGTTAGAGAGGAATTAGTGACCACTGATTTATGCAGAAGTAAAATACAGACAATGTTTTTGTTGTTTTTACATTTGAGAACACCTCAATAGTTTGCTTTTGTCCAAAAAAAGAGTGCTACAGTTGAATCACCACCTTCACACCAATGCCTCACAGTCTGTCAATGCATTTTTACTCCCTAATGATAGCTCTTTTATTACATTTTAAGAAGGTGAAAAGTCAGGGTTGTAGACCTGTTAACAGTAGAAGTATGTTTACTAAAATTCTGTGAAATTACAGTAAATATCTTTTAAATAAATAAATACTGCCCTTTATTGTAATTCAATAGTTTCACTACATCAACTAGCTATTCTATATGCAATATTCTACCACAATAATAACAATAACAACCATTAAAATAAACAGAAATGTCTGTGAAATAAAGATGATAATTTGTCTTTGTGAATTTACTTTCTATTTCTGTAAATTAACAGCAGCACCTTTACATTGTATGTATGGTTTATTTACATGCATTTGACCTTTTTTTCAAAAAACAGGTACTGACCATTTCGACGGTGAAAATATGTTTTGTTTTTTAAAGTGTATGGTCAAATGAAGTTCAGGACAGAACCTGTTTTACTGACCAGTCTCTCTGTCTCTCTCTCAGCCTGGCAGACTGTGGCCTCACAGAGGTTGGCTGCAGTTTACTGTGTGCTGCTCTGAGGTCAAAATTCTTTCACCTGAGTGAGCTGTATCTGAACTTCAACTCGCTCAGAGACCCCGGGGTGAAGTTCATCTGTGAATTCCTGAAACAGCCGCACTGCAAGCTAGAAAAACTAAGGTGAATGTTAACTTATTTAACTCAGACAAATATAAATATGACCCAAAGTAACCAAAGTTGTTCTGCTTGAATAGTAATTTCTGCTGAACCCATTCAAATAACCTTAGAGAACAATATTTGTGCTCTTTTAAGAAAGGAGTTACATAGTATAACTTGGACACGGACCATGCCGTACCATATTTCATACTTACTGATAGTGTCTACTGAGCCGTGTGCCGAAGTCTAACTGAAAGCATGCTGTAGCCTGTCACAGTGTGATATCTCAGAAGGGGGCTGTGCTGCTCTGGCCTCGGCTCTCCGGCTGAACCCGTCACACCTGAGAGAGCTGGAACTGAGTGGGAATAAACCAGGAAGTTCAGGAAAGCAACTGCTTAAAGCTCTGCAAGAGCATAAAGACTTCAGATTGGAAAAGTTAAAGTGAGTGGGCTTCTTTTGTCTGATTCATAGTGGTTACTGAATAACTATTGGATACATCTTAAGATAAATAGTTGATAATAAACCTAGAGTTCACAGAATGCACCACATAATTTGTCTTTGACCTGCTATGATTTACCACACCTTACTGCTTCCCAATAGCATCACAACAGCAGTTACAAGGCAAAATACAGTAATATTGGAACCAGGCCTGTGCACAGATCCCCTGTCCCTGTCTATTAGACCTCACACTTTCAGCAGTAAACGGCACTAATAAACCAACTCATATGGAAAATAAATATAATATAAAAGATATTTATCGAATACATTTGAAACTATAAAAATGGCCCAAAATGCACATTAGAGTTTGAAATGTATCTCACATGTAAAAACAATACAGTGTGATTCAAAAAGATTAATCTGATTTTAAAATGATTTATTTCACTTGTAAATCATTACAGAACAATGCAGTAAACTGTAAATGGTTTAAATGAGCATAAAGTTTATTAACTACATAATTTTACAAGTGCTCAATATGAACCTCCTCCAGCTGTACAGACAACATCAACGCCATAGTCAAATTCACCCCATACTCGATTGAGCATGTCGGGTGTCGCTGCACTCACGGCTCTTTCAGTGCGATTTCGGAGATCATCCAGTGTTGTGGAACCAACGACGAACGCTCTGAGCTGTTGGAGCTTCACTGTCCACGAAAATCACATCGCACAGTTATGACGGATTCACTCTTATTGAAGTGGAGAACGCAGAACGCTTTCTGCTCAGGGGTCTCATCTCCTCACAGACAGTATGGAGCCATCTTCCGATGACAGTCAGAAACTCTATGACCCCCTCTTTCAATTGGAATGTGATTGGTTCCTAGGCACCTCACAGTTTTGAAATCGGATGAATCTTTTTGAATCACCCTGGACATATATATTTTAAACATTTTAAAGCTGATGTTAGCTTCTTATTCTTATTTCCTGTTCCACTTTCAGGCACTACTGTGTAACTGCTGCACCATTGCACCATTTAAGGTGCAGCAGTTAAGTGAAGCTAACACCAGCCTTGAGAGAATATCAAATGAAATGCGATGACGTGGTGCTGCTAAAGCAATAGACGGCGCGTCACTGAGTTTATTACTGTTTTTGCTATGTTTCTACATGATTCATGTGGAGACGGACAGCAGCAGCAAGAACTGCAGGTTTGAAAAAGCTAGTTAAGGAGGATGAGGAGATATCCAAGCAAGTGGACAGGGAGAAATGTCATTAATTTAAGTTACTTAGCTAACATTAGCATTGTTTGTAGCGTATTGGCTGACACATTTAAGAACAACTCATTTTCAGGTAATTTTTAACGATAAAACAATAAAAATGCCACCAATTGCACCTTAAAGTCTTAGTTACTTCAGAGTCATTTGGGTAAATGATTGTTAGCTTATTGTGGTTCTTTTCTTGTTATCTCTTTGTAGAATATAGAAGACTAATGCAGGATCATCTACACAGGGACAAGACAAGAGGTCTTCTGCCACAACCAGCGAGGGGTTTCAATGCAGTACACTGTATGTATGCTTATGAAATGATAGCACAGAAGAGTAACATGGGATATGACTTACATTATGTACATCCAAACCAGGAGCTGGACAGTGTTTTTATGGAGTCTATGATGTCCCTTGTCCCTTTTGTGCTCCCTACTCTGTGTCATGTGGCTCAGGAGGACGTTTACTTCAATTTAACCCAGTGTAGCTCTGTTATACATTCAGTAAGTTCTTCAACAAACCAGCCTCAAATTCCAGGTGATGTTGAATGTTGTCTGGATTCGTGTAACCACTGCAGAGGAATCAGCCCTTTTTTTAGGAACATAAGTCATTTTTTTCTAGCAAATCACAGCCACAAAGCTGCTGGATATCTCTCACTGAGTGAACTGGATGAATCCAACATGCCAATGAAAGGACAATGTCAGTTTAGTTCTTTTTACAATCAATTAAAAAGCGAGCTAAAGCTAACAAGCACATCACAAGTGTCTGTTTTGAGATAAACTTTTTTATAGGTGGGACAATCTTCAGAAATGATGAGAGTCATTAGACAATCAGGTTCCACTCTATTCATTACTACTAGTATTAAAATCTCCTATCACTAGATGTCCTCGCAGGCACCTGGTACCAAGACTACTTATTAGAGAACACAGTCAGTGGCTCTATCTTTAGGATCTTGGTTCCCCAGCAGTGTCACCAATGCCGGAGTGGGTAATTGGGAGAATTCCTGGTGTGCTGGTAATGTTTTGGGCCACTTATTGTGAGCTAATCTATAAACTCACGCATAGAAGCACAAGAACACTCAGACAAACTGTAACTGGTTCATCCAAGTGTGCATATATAGTAATTTAGAGATTAGACAAAGCTGAGGTTAGCTTCTTATGCTTCTTATTTCCTGTTCCACCTTAAATCATGCAGCATTTACATATAGGTGCCTTTTTTCGGGCACTAGCGTGTAAGTGCTGCACCATTTAAGGCGGAGCGGAATTTCCAATAGGAAGTTAACATCAGCCTCGAGATTAAGTGTGACAATGTGGTGCTCGCAACACAACAGATATCGCTCCACTGAGTTTATTACTGTTTTTGCGATTTTCATAAGTGAATTATGTGAAGATGGACAGCAGCAGCAAGAACGGCAGGTATGAAAAAGCCAGTTAAGGAGGATGAGGAGATATCCGAGCAGGTGGACAGTGAGAAATTACGTTAACTTAAGTTTCTTAGCTAACATTAGCATTGTTTGTAGCATATTGGCTGTCGTGATTATTAAGTCACATTTAAGACAAAAACTTGCATCAGTCTAGCCACTTTGTTTATCTCAGTATAGCACATAAATAATAAATAAGGGATAAGAGTAAGAAAAGAAGATGAAAATGCACAGATTTCAGAAAAAGTTATGTTGCACAAAGGCATTGCTGTGTGTTTAGCAGAGTTTAAGGTGGGCTGGTCTGCATCGTATAACTCCTGGTCTGAGAACAAGTCCCACTCCGGCCCTGGTTGCCACAGCCGTCTGTGGATAGCAAGAAAGCATAATTGGCCTTGCTTTCTCTTGGTGCTGAGGTTGTCCATCTCCCACAACCACCCTCCTGGGTATGAATTATCCAATGACATTGTGTTAGCGGCAGCTTGAAAAGACTCAGTAGCACTTCACGTGTCTTAGAGGAAGCTTCGTCCTCCCTGCTTGGTGATCTTGTGATGGGGAGATTTAGGTAGAGGGTGGAATTTGCCAGGACTAAACTGTAGAGAAAAGAGTTTTAAGCAATATCTGTTCAAAAGTGTTGGTTGCTGGTTTAGGTCTAAAGCAAGACTTTTCCTAAATGTGACATTTATAAAGCTTGTTGACTCTGTTTTTATGAAATGATATGCTGTGAACATGGATCTAAATAGCCTGAGATATGACTCATCAGCTGTACTCTTTTATAAATGAGTTACTCGATTCATCATTTTTTGTTTGATGATACTGCTTTGTTTACAGCTATGAGCTATAATATGTGGACTAGTACAGATCCCACTCGTTTGAAATGAAACAAAACCTTTTATATTTTATTTATTGTTTTTTTACATCACTTGAAACCAGTAGATATGCTCCAAAATGACTTGTTCCATTCACTTCTATTCAAATTCAAGAATACCTTTTTTCGATTTGTCATGTAAAGTAATCACTTTGGTTTGGTTGCAACAGCGATGATATGCTGAAAAATGTATTTTAAGTGTAGTATTCCCAATTTTATATCATTTGTCACAACTTTAAAAGATTTTTAAATGTAAGAAGCTTTGTGATATCTGATTACTCATGTCTTGCATGAAAATTAGACATATCAACTGCAGCATTCCGTCACTAGAGGTCAGTATTCATCAAAGTATGATCTGAAAGCTGTAACGTGTAGGTGGACTGGGATTCAGAAACAGCTTGGATTTAAAGCTGATGCATAGCGACACATAACTTGGCGTAAGAAGCACAAAAGCTGAACTTCAATGGAATAAGTATTAACAATAAGTGTAACATCACTCACCTGTTCCTACATTCAGATCTGTTTACATGTGGACACAAGCCTAAGATCACCTTCAACCTACAGTATCTACTGACAACTGTCAAACATGATAGAAGATCCAAGATGTTATGCGTTAATTTCATTGGAGCCACTGGGTCCAGCGATTGTTCTGTATTGCTGGTGGTGATGGCCAAGTAATCTGAGGCTTGTGTTCACTAATGCACTGTATAGCTGCTCTCATCAAACTCCTCTAATCCAATATTATAGCACACCAATACAACGTTAAAGGAACACAAAAGTGGTTTCAACACCAGTGAGACGGTGAACAACTTTCATGTAAAAGATGGCACTACTCTTCTTCATAAGGTTATTATGTTAATTATATTAATGTAATACTGGGTGTTTCCCGTTAGTCAGTCTGTTGTCTGTCTGTGTATTAGGGCCAGTGCCATGATGGGTTTCTTCCTGATCTGTACAGTATATTGTATTATTTTTAACATATATTGGTCATATTTGCACAGGGCTTGGGAAAGGTGCTACACGATAAATAAACATTTTTCTATGTAAAAATAAAGGAATTATGTTAGTATTCTTCTTCTTTTTTTTTACTATTTTGTTTTAGATGCTTTGTAGATGCTCAGTTTTTTAACTATATCATTTTTAGTGTAACTGAATGTTAAGACTGTAATAGATTCTATTAAATCAAACTTTAAAACTAAACCTAACCCTTACTTCAACCTAAAACCTGAACTTAATCATAAACATAATCCTAACATGGCTCCACCAAATAGTTTGTTAATAATATAAGCATCTTCAGATATCACATATGCATTATTATTATTATTATTATTATTGTTATTATTATTGTTAAAATGTCAGATACTGTAAACTAGACGACATTAGGTAGTGTTATATTTGGTATTTCAAGTATTCTGGCAACAATAAGGAGTTATTTGAATAATATGCTAAATAATATATTGTAATTATCTATTCATGGGATTTTTGTCAAGTTTTGTCAAGGCATCTGCCTCAAGATGTGATCATCAGTTTTGAAATACAAAACATTCTACATATTAATTTATATTATTATTATAACATCATTATTGAATAATTTACATTGCTCTTTGTCATTTTGTTCATCACAATTATTTATTTACTTATTTATTTAAGGATTTATTTATTCTCAACCTCCTATTAATTTTTCGGGTTGTGATTTCTTTTATAGTCCCCTAAGTTATGGGTCAGGGGTCGGCAACATGCGACTCTTTTACTGCCCTGTTGTGGCTCCAGAGCAGAATTTGATTTTTTAGGTAAAAATAAAATAATCCTCCTTTGTAGTAGAATAGAGCTCTGCTGATCGTTCAACACAGTTTAACAATAAATGGTCTTAAACATTGCAGCCAAGATGGTAAAACGGACAGAAAGTGTTGTGGCTCCCAAAGTGGTTTGATTTTTGTTCAAAGGGCAAAATGGCTCTTCTTAACATTTGGGTTGCCAATCCCTGTTATAGGTATTGATCAGGTAAGTGTGAAGATAAAATGGCGAAGTACCAGATGATGATTCTGAGCAACATGATGGCACAGTGCCTTTCACAAATGTTGGCACTCCTGGTGAACATGAACTTCTCAAATCTGTGTGTGCCCCAGTTATTGGCATCCCTTCATTTAGTACTTTGTGCAGCCTCCCTTTGCAAAGATACCAGCTCTGAGTTTTCTCCTATAATGCCTAATGAGACTGGAGAACACACAGCAAGACATCTGAGCCCATTCCTCCAAACAGAACCTCTCCAGATCCTTCAGATTCTGAGGTTCATAGTGTGGACTTTCCTCTTCAGCTCATCCAACAGATTTTCTAAGGGGTTTAGGTAAGAGGACTGGGGTGGCCATGTCAAAACCTTTATTCTGTGGTCAGTGAAACATTTTTGTGTTGATTTTGAGGTGTGTTTTGGATCATTGTCCTGCTAGAAATCCAAACTATGACCCAGTTTAAGCTTCCTGGCTGAGGCAGTTTGATTTTATTTCTGTTGGTACTTGATGGAGTCTTTGATACCAAACAAGTTGTCCAGGGCCTTTGGAAGAAAAACAACATCATCACAGATCCACTGCCATACTTCACAGTGGGGATGAGATACTTTTCTGCATGGCTGTCTTTGTGTCTAGGCCAATATGTCTATGCTCCGGTGCTTGTTGCTAAACAGCTCTATTTTGGTTTAGCTTGGTCCAGTAACATCTGGCAAACTGTAAGTGCTTGAGTTTGTACGTGCTTGACAGCAGAGGCTTTTTTTTCCAGCAACCCTCACAAACAACTTGTGATTATGTAAGTGGCGCCTGATTGTAGTTTGGGAGACATTCTGACCCCAAGACCTAATTCTTGGATAAGCAGTGAAGAATATTTTTTACAGCCTGTTTTGCTCATGTTTACCAGCGTTACCACCAGATGTTTGTGAAAGGAACAGTAAGTTCCAAAGCAGTTTAACTAAATTGCACTGAAATGACTCGAAGCTTCTAGCTATTAAACTGAAAAAAGAAATAATAAAATATCTCGGAATTATTGAGTAACAAAAGATCATATGTATGTGTATATGCAAAACCCTGAATATGGAATATATAATTTTATTGGCCTTGAACAGACCAGCTATTAATGTCATGGATAACATGGATAGGTGTCATTATTATTATTAGTACTATTATTATTATTATTATTGCTTTAGTTAATAAATTAGGGCTGTGCAGTAAGGTGGTAATCTTTATGTGTTCTCTGTTTTTTCTGTGACATTACAGTGAAATTTAGTGTGAGTATAAAAATGTAAGATATATTGAAGATATAAAGTTTTCTGAAGTAAATAGTAAAAATCCAATAGCCACAGTTACAATGACTGCTTTCTTTAAAAGGCCCGAATTCAGTTTTGTTTGTAACTAATGAACAGGTACAAACTACATTTATAGACTTACTATTTATTTATGTACATTCTTTTTGTGCCACATATCTACCTGGCTTTTACCCCAAAATAATTACACAGTACTGTGGAGTTTGTCCCTCATACTTACCAGGTTAATATCTAGAACCTGTTAGATATGTCAGTGTAATTCACTTATACTGTCTTAGAACTTTTGAGTTGTGCCTGAACTTGAGGAACAGTAAAAGAAAGCATTACCACTATTTGTAATCATATAAACTTGTGAAGTTGGATGAGACTATTTCCTACATTTTCTGCCACCATACTGGTTTTATATTATTGGAAACAGTGAGTTCAAACCTTTGAACATCAGTGTAGATAAATTTATTAGCATTCTCACCTCCTGAATTGGATATCAAAGGAAACCCACTGATCAAAACAAAACTCTATTTGGAGAGCAGCAGGTTACAGCCCCGGGACACTGGACAAGAAGAAACACAACAGAGTCTAAATCTCCTCAGAAATCCTCCAGAGAACCCCAGACAGGCCTGCTGAATGGAGAGAGAGGAAAGGCATTTCGAAAAGCTTTCACTCTGACTGACACCTGCATTGATGTCGGTGGGCACTGCGGCCATCTAAACGCACTTAATGACTGGAGTGGCCACAGTCGTCTCAGAGCGTTCAGCTCCAGAGATTTATGGGCTTTTGCCAGGAAGACAGAGCCAAGGAGAGGTTTGAAGAGCTTAAAGGGAAAAGTGTCATGAGCAAGAACTCCGTGCCAAATTCTCAGTGGCAATACACAGCTTTTTTTACATAATAATGACTGATTGATCTTTTTCAGGACCTCTAATCATTCAGTTTGATGGATTTGTACTTCTCTGAATATGTTCAAATGATTAAACGTACACTAATTCTGTTAATTTGACTAATTCCTTATACTAATTCCTTATACTCCCTTTGTTTGATTGATTGATTGATTGATTGATTGATTGCCACATGACATGGTGGTTGATGGTAATTCCATTCAGTTCATCAAGATCTAATTTACTTCTGTTGTAACACAATACACATACATATTGCAATATGATGTAACACACATACAACGAACAATATATTTTGGGTTTAATTTCATTTTGTTGTGTTGGTTCAGGTCCTGAACTGCTTTACTGCTTTTCATATCTCTCACCTTGGAGTTTTATCATTTAATTTTAGACCTAAATATTCCAAAAAGAGAAGAATAGAGTGTAACAAACTTCAGTTCCTTTGTTGATAGATGCTGGATGCAGTTCTATAAGTTACTCAGCACTTTTTCACTCAATTGTTCTTGGAAATGTACTGTTACTACTACTTCAGTCATTATTTCATCAACACTTTAAGTACTAACCGGCTTTTTTACAGGCTCCATTTACAATGCCTGTGTGAGTTTGTGTACCAAAAACAGTTCTAATCAATTTTTGCTTGACCATTTTCTAACCTCACCTTATCCCTTTGAATTAAACAGGCTGTTTTGTTACTGCCACTTTAAGACTGATATATGTAAATGATCTCTGTTCTGATTGGCTGCCCTGCATTCTGCCTCAATCATAAAGCTATCCAGGCTGAAACACCAGACATAATTTCAACATAAATGAGTCGAGCTTAACAGCTAAATATGTAATTGTTTTGGGTTTTGTGACATCACAAAAATAAAATCACAAAAAATCACCAGGGATGTGGAAAGTGGGGATATGATGATAATAATAATAATAATAATAATAATAATAATAATAAGAGGAAGAAGAAGAAGAAGAAGAAGAAGAAGAAGAACCTGAGAAGGCCTGTGCGAGCTTGTTTTAGAGCAGATTTTATATTTTTATTTTACGTTTTAGTTTTTAAATTTTACAGTGGCCGCTTTGGGGCCATGTCATTAGTCCAGAGTAAAAGTGTATGCAGTTGTAGGCTGATATTAAGTGGAATCCATTCTTCCATCTACCCTTGCACTGTTTGCTGCACCACTGGCTGCCCCACAATCTCAAAGCTTAATAGATCCCCCACATGGTTAACAGTTGGCAAGGTGTTCTTTACATCATATGCTGCTCCTTTTTTCCTCTAAACATACCTCTCGTGACTGTAACAAAAGAGCCCATTTTTACTTCATCCACAACACTTGTTTCTAAAGCGCCTCTGGTTTATCTGGATGTTGTTTTGCATACTTCTGACATTGAGTTTTTGAGTTTTTCTTCCATGTAGATCATGTTTGTGCTGCAATGCTGCACAGTAGAACAGGGTTTTGCTTTGCCTTTCTGGCCAGCATATGAGCAGCTCTATCTGAGTTTTTTCTTGGTCTTCTGTATCTTGCCTTGACTTCCACAGTTTCCATTATTGCCATTCCTTAATGACATTTCGGACAGTGGAAATTGTGAACTGGAAGCACTTAGATTTCTTTTAATACCCTTCACCTGCTTCGAAGTCATCAGTTAGCTTCATTTTCAGATTCTCAGACAGCTGCTTAGAGGAACCTATGGTTGTTGAGTGTTAGCACGAGTTTGAAGTTTGAAGAGTCAGAGAATTTATTTCACTCTGGACAGTTCATTATGATAATTCTTGACCTGCCTGACCAGTCCTAATGACCCAGTTAAGGCCTAAGGAGTTAAGTTCTGATATTTTACAGTGTCCAAACTTTTGCACATGCCAAAATT